CTACCGGTCTCGCGGGTACCAACTCGAAATGTTAGAGGCTAGCCGTAAGGAAAATATCATTGTCGCAGTATGTCCTTGTTTCTAGAGTTGAGGCTTCGGAAGACGCTGACCATATAGATGGACACGGGGAGTGGAAAAACTCATATGCATGTTTAGAGGTGACATTTCCTGTATCGGCACATTTTCCTGACTGTTCTTTTAGTGCCATTCTTCGGATTATAGATGAGCTTGAGAACTCCAATTCTCCAGAAAAAGTGAATAGACTCGTTGATTCTTCGACTTGTTCTCGGCTCACGTGTGCCACAGCTTATTTGGTTTCTTGCCCCGACTGTGGCATTGAGCCTTCAACAACATGAAGTTATCACTAGCCAGATCCTCTCTGTGAAAACTAAAGTTTTAACTGGTCTGGACAATGTTGATCGATGGACTGAACAAGGTGTCTGGGACAAAGTGCTTAAGGATGTGCGTGTGGTTGTCTCAACATATGCTGTGCTTGCTGATGCCTTGGGCCATGGTTTTGTTCGCATGTCCCGACTTGCTCTCCTTATCTTTGATGAGGGTATGTGGCACTTGAGGCATCCCAGAATCCACACTAATAATATAATACAGCTCATCATTGCACGAGACGCCATCCGGCGAATAAGATTATGCAAAATCACTACCATCCTACCCTGCTGAGGTCAGGCCCAAATGCTGTACCTCGGATCTTGGGACTCACTGCCAGTCCAGTGGTCCGATCGAGCAGGAATGAGCTTGAGTGAGGCAGTCTACTACATGCGGATAAGTCTCTTCAATAACTGACCGTCTTCCCTCAGAATAATCGAATCCAACTTGAACGCAGTATGCAAGACTCCACGTGTCCATCGCACTGAGCTCTTGGAAAACACACATCGCCCTCATCTAGAGCGTGTCAATTACATGGCTTTTGAGGAAGCCCAGTATGGCTTCGGGAGTCGACTACTTTCGCCTCTCATAGAATGTTGCAGGGCCTATAACATAGAAGATGACCCTTGGATCGAATCATTACGGTCAAAGGATCAGACAGTGGAACTGACAAAGGCTCTCACCACAGGTAAAACTTTCTGTAGCGAGCAGCTGAGGAACTTCCAGGCGCGCAGCCGACACATTTATGAGGAGCTGGGAGGCTGGGCTGCTGACTTCTTCATCAGCGCTTCAATTGACCAACTTCAGCGTTCAATCCAAGGTGCTAGTGAGATGTCACATTTGGACCAAATGGAGAGAATTTACCTGTTAGAACTGCTGCTTGCAATGCCTTCCCCAGTTTCAGCTGAGGAGAGTAATCACATATCCATCAAGCTTGAAATGCTTCTCAACTTCCTTGAGAAAATGGATAGGCCTGGGTTTTCCGGACTACTATTTGCCAAGCAGAGGGCAACTGTCAGTGTGTTAGCTCGCATTTTATCCCTTCATCCCAAAACCAGAGATCGCTTCCAGTGTGCCGCTTATGTTGGTTGGGCGAATGATAGAAACCGCAAGGGCTGTCTCGGTGACCTACTTCATCGGGATATGCAACGGGATACTCTCGCTGAATTCAAAGCTGGCCGCAAAAACCTCATTGTCACCACTGATGTTCTTGAAGAAGGGATTGACGTAAGCGCATGCAGCTTGGTCATTTGTTACGACAAGCCCGCGAACCTCAATTCCTTTGTGCAGCGACGTGGTCGTGCTCGTCATAAAGAATCCACATATGCTGTCATGATCTCAAATGAGGACGAGTTGTTGAATCTGCACAAATGGCAGGAACTAGAGCAAGTTATGATCAAAGCGTATCAGGATGACGAGCGACGGCGTCGGGAAGCTTGTGACCTCGAAGCCACTGAAGAGCACGTGAAAGAGATACTTTGTGTGGAGAAGACGAGGTAAACGCAATTCAGGGCTTCCCCTCCAAGATATTTGCTGACATCGTTTTGGGCAGTGCTCTGTTGACGGCGGACGACGCATTGCAGCATTTGCATCACTTTTGCGCTGTCTTACCAGTTGACGAGTATTCCGACAACCGACCAATATTTTCCTTCCAGGAAGACAGTGTGGGATTGCTTTTGGGTACGGTCACACTACCAAATTCTGTGCATCCCACGGTTCGACGAACAACAGGGAAAGCCTGGTGGCGGACAGAGCGGGCAGCCAAGAAGGAGACTGCGTTTCAAGCCTACAAAGCTTTGCATTCGTACGGGCTGGTCAACGATAATCTCTTACCATTGACACGAAAACCAGAGTTGAGATTCTCAGAAGAGATGATGCTTCCATCTATTGTGCAAGCTGCGGAGCAGTATGACCCTTATGTAGACCTTGCACAAGGCTGGGCTTTGGGTCAGTTGTGCCAGACACGCTTGAGGATATGCAGCAATGGTTCTGTCGATGAGGATCTGGCCATCTGCTTAATTTTGCCAAGATTGACCCCGATGCCGCAGCCCATTCCTCTCTATTGGGACCCCCAGAGATTCATGGAACTCCATTTTGATCCACAAATTTCGACTTTTGAGACGACAGCGGAGACACTGGATCAAATGAGAAGGACCACAGCCCTGTATCTACAAGCTCCTAGCTCACGACAGCGGGGAGACGACCGCGACTTCGTGGCTCTCTTCATCCCCGATATTTCACATGGACACCTAGGAGAATGGCTTGCACTGTACGAAGGAAAGGAGCCTGCAATGGAAGTTTACTCAAGGAACCCAACTGCTCCGCCGATGGGTATCGTTCGTGACCAGTCCAAATTCAGCGAGCCACGGACTTTCAACAGATGGAGCGTTCCAGCGGATGTATCGAAGTCGTCGCCTATTGAAGTGGAATGTTCATCGCTTCCCCGTCGACGAAATCTCCTCCAGATGCGAGCCATGCATATCGCCGAAGATGGAGAGGCAGATGTACCAAAGAAGTCCTACGTTCTACCTGCAGCAGCTTGCGTCATTGACAAGCTCCCAGCAAAACAGGCTGTATTTGGACTTTTCATCTCGGCCATTCTGGATCGGCTGGAGGCATCATTGGTCGCACATCGGTTGAACGATACCATTTTGAAAGGAGTCGGAATCCAAAATATCGCCCATGTTATTACGGCTATCAGCGCGCCGATTGCACAAGCCAGTACCAACTATCAGCGATATGAGTTCTTTGGTGACTCTGTTCTCAAATTCACCGTTAGTTGCCAGCTCTTTTTCCGGAACACCAACTGGCACGAGGGGTACCTCTCGGAGAGTCGTGACAAGCTAATCCAAAACACTCGCCTCGCTCGTGCGGCTCTTGACCTTGGTATTGACAGCTTCGTTCTAACGAATCGGTTCACCCCTCGGAAATGGACTGCACCGTTGATCAGGGACAAGTTGGAACCCTCGACAGCCAAAAGAAACATATCGACCAAGGTCCTGGCAGATGTCGTGGAATCTCTTATTGGCGCAGCATATGTAGACGGTGGAATCCGCAAAGCGCAGGCCTGTCTCCATCGCTTCTTGCCTGAGATCAATCTCTTCACGAGTGAAATTTCACCTCGCCTCCTGCCACCAGGTAAAGGCGTGAGCAATTTAATCAACCACCATCGATTGGCCTGTCTGATTGGATATACTTTCAACGATCCTGCCCTTCTAACAGAGGCGCTCACCCACGCGTCCTGCGAGTACGATACATCAACACAATCTTACCAACGCCTCGAGTTCCTCGGCGATGCCGTCCTCGACATGGTCGTCATGGCAGTGATAGCAGCCCACCCCGTTGAAATGGACCAGGGACCAATGACATTGCTCAAACACTCGGTCGTGAACGCCAATCTCCTCGCCTTCTTCTGCATGGAGCTATGCGCACCAGACGAACCTTCTCACGTCACCCAATTCGCCAACGGCGAAATCAACCTCATGCCGCACTATGACCAGATCCACCTATGGCGCTTCCTCCGCTCCCACGGTCCTAACATCAAATCCGCCCGGGAAGCTTGTCTCGAGCGGCACCAAGGTCTCCGTGCTGAAATCTGCGATGCTCTGGAAAACGGGACCCAGTACCCGTGGGAATTGTTTGCCCGCCTGCGTGCGGATAAGTTCCTGTCGGATATTGTCGAGAGTGTTCTTGGGGCGATCTTCATCGACTGCGGGGGAAATCTGGATATATGCTACGAATTCGTTGACCGTATCGGATTGGTGTGGTACATCCAGCGTGTCATTGGCGACGGGGTTAATGTTGTTCATCCGCGCAACATTGCGCAGAACATGGTGAAGGGAGCAGGTACCTTGGTCTTCAAGAGGAAGAGGGTCGAGTCTGGAGGCGCGGCGACGTATCGGTGCTCGGCGGTCGTCAATAAGACTGAAATCGCGCTAGTGGAGGGTTGTGCTTCTGCCGAAGAGGCTGAGGTCAAGGTTGCCAACGTCGCTATTGA